AAAGTTCAGAGGCTTTGCAAGTAAGTAGTCAAGCGACTGAAACTGTTCCCCATTTTACTGCAGTTACAGCCTGGCAGGGAGGGCAAAGACCTGGAGCCAGGTGCCTCGCTGAGCTGTGAGTGTGGCCTCTGGTCTGGTCATTTGGCTGCTGCAGCTGCTGTTTTGAGTGTCGCTTGTCTGGTGGTGCACTGCCACATCTCAGCAGCTCTGGTGAGCATCTCCTGTTGGTCTTCTGTTGTCTCTGTGAGTTGGATCCTGGCCTAGAGTCTGGCTGCTATGTGCTCCAGGTTCACAGTGTCAGGAAGATGCCATCTTGGGAGGCTTTGTGTATAGGACCTTAAGACACTAGCCACTGCTTCGGGTGAGGTAAAGGCCATTTTACCTCAGTAACCCTTTGTTTTCCCTGGTTTGTTAAGTAAACCCCATTATTGTTGTTCTCTGAACCTGAAGTCTTGCAATTGCACGCGTGGTTGAAGAACTCAGAGGGTGACCCGGTATACTATTTGGGCAATGTCCGTGGCCAGTTTTAGTTCCCCTTGCAGCCTTGTATCATCATGACTTGTTTTTAGTGACAGATAATGTGGCAGAAGTGATAACTTCAGGACTTCTGAAGCTAGCTCACAACAGTGGTGTAACTTACATTCCCGCTTTCTCTCTTGGGATGTTTGCCCTTAGAACTAAGCCTCCGTGAAGGAAGGAAGCCCAAGGCATGCAGGAGATGCCACTTGTAGCCTCTGGCTGACTCCCTGGGGCCCCAATCAATACTCTCCACCTACCACCACAACTGAGTGAAAGAACCTTTAGGTGATTTCTGTTGTAACCTTCAAATCACCCCAACTATGCCAAGAGGAGCAATGACAAGCAGTCCTCCCAGAGCCTTGCTCAAACACTAGATTTATGATTAAAATAAATGTTATGTACCCAGCCTTTATGTACCCAGCCACAGATAGCTGGAGCAGGCAATGTTAATAGGACTAATCAGATATTGGAAGAAAAAAAGAGGAAATCATGAGTGTTTACCAGATTTTCTAGGTTATGCAAATTAATAGGAAATAATATCAAATTGTAATGGCCAGTTTACACACTTAAGTCAGAAATAAATAATCAGTGTTTGGAGAGTGTCAACTGGGATGCTGGCCACAGAAGAGATAAGTGTTTGTGAGATTAAAAAAAAAAAGTCTTATGGTCATTTTATTTAGATAATAACAGCATCTTAGAAAACTAAAAAAATGTCAGAGTGAAGCAGTTGAAAAAACTAAGACACAAAACAGTGATTAAGTAGTTGGAAGTGACCATTTTAGCAATTAGCAATCAGTGTTAATCAGCACTTCTTATTTTACTGTTAGGATGTCAGTGCTATTTATTACAATATCCCTTATAAATTTAATGATTTTTCTTTCAGTTTGCTACTGCTTTACTCTCTTACTGGAGAAGGTCTTGCTATAGAAACAAGGTCTTCTCTGGTCATCCCATCTAACATTGCCAACTCCTCAGTCCTCACACATGGTTTTCCTTACCTGCTTCATTTTTGTCTTCCTTAGTAATTAACATTACTTAGCATAGTAGATTTACTTATTTTGATTGTTTTTTTTCTCCCTACTAGAGTTTAATTTAATTGAGACACTTGTCTATAGAAGGTGTTCCTAAATTATTTGATGAATAAATGAATAAAGTGATCTTTTAATCACTTGACAAAGAAAGAATTAAATTGTGATCTGAATACTTTCAATCCTGTATGTAATACTAGTCTGCAAGTCTTTGGAAATCTGCAATCTAAATGTGGCACATACATATGTAACCCTAATGCCTAGCAGCCTCATAACTGGACACCCATGAGATACTAATAGTAATAAATATCACTGGCATCAAATCCTTCCCCTTCATTTTGCCTTTGTCTTTATATTTTGAAAATTTAAAATATACACAAAATGGGAATAGTATAATGAACCCCTATGTAACTACTGTTTATTGTTGAGCATCAGTAATTGACATTAGTTTATTAACCTTATTTAGAATGTTTCATCTATTTTTTCCCTCTAAATTAAAACAAACATCATGTAATTTCACCTTATAGTTTTTTTTTTTTTTTAAGATTTATTTATTTTTACATAAGAGCAGGGGTACAGGCCAGAGGCGCGGGAGGGTAAGAGGATGCACCAGAGACAGAGTGGGGAACAGAACAGGCAGACTGACTGAAATACACTGCTGAGGGGAGCAGCAGGCATGACAGGAGAGGTCTGCTGTGCCATGTGGGAATCTCCCTGACAAGGCTGGGAATTGAACCCACACTGGAGAGGCTGGGCTGCAGACAGCTTCACAGCACTGCGCTTAACCTGCTGTACCACTGGGAAGGCCCATCACCTTATAGCTTTTGATGTTTTTCAATATGTTAAGTATACTTTTTAAAAAACACTACTATTGTGGCTTTCTACACACACAGAATTAGGAATTCCTATCACCTAATGCCCAAGCATGATCAAATTTCCTCAATTGACTCCATAAAATTTCTATTAAAATCAGGAACTAAACAAGGTGCACAATGTATTTGGCTATTATTTTTCTTAAGTCTCATTTATCCTATAAATCTCCCTTTCTCTTTATTGATGCATTGATGTGTTGGTGAAACCATGGGTCATTTGCCCTGTAGAATTTCTGATGTTCTAGATTTGGCTGACTGCTTTCCTGAGATAAATTTAGCTTGTTCTTTAGCCCTCATATTTTCTGTAAATGGTAGTTAGGTCTAGAAGCATGATTGGGTTCAGATTAGATTTTCAAGGAAGGATTTTTTCATAGGTGGTACTGTTATAGGACAGGGAGAGGGGCACCCCAGACCCCCACAAACCTGCCTATTCTAAATGGGTTCTGCCATCCGCCGCATCAACACAAAACATATGACGCTTTAATGGGAAGGAACTTTAATAAAAACTAGGAAACAATACAGGTAAGGCAAAGAGTCTAGTTTCTAAATGAAGCACCCAAAGTTACGCATCCCCTCGTGGGTAAAACTCCATCCATATGGGGTCGGCCCAGAGCAAGGCCCCAAAGCCTGCCACAAGTCTAAAACATCTTCCAGTGGGGACCCACAGAAAAGGGTCACAAACAACCGGACAAGCCCGGAAGGAAAAGAGCAAAATCAACATCCAGATAAAAGCTGCCATTGTCACCTCCCCACGGGTCTCACCCACATCTGTGTCACCCAGTCCACAACCCAAAAGACAAGCTCAGTTTCTTCACATGTCTCTAGGCTCCATGCGCCTCCTCCAGGTCTCCTGGCTCCATCCTGCTTCCTTCCTCAGTCTCTTCTTGCTTCTCCTCTTCCTGCTCAGCTCCACCCTCCCTTGGGTGGGGCAGGGAACCTGGAATTTCCCCCTTTCCTGGGGACCACCCTGTTACAGTACGATCCTTTTTATTTCATCACATTGTGAGACTTAAAACTTGTAATTATCTCAATTTTAATGATGCTAAAATTGATTAGTGAGTTATTAGCTTGATTTCTGACCGAGTTCCTTTACAGTTTTTCGCTTAATACTTTTATCATCTAATTATAATCTTTGTGTAGATCCATTATTTTATTAGGATTTGGAAAAATGGTGATTGTTTTCTAAGTATACTTCCTTTTTTCATTTATTAGCTTCAGTTTTTCTATGAATAAGAATTTTATTTATTTATTTATTTTTTTAAATTCTGAAATGTGCCTTTTTTTCAAGATTTATTTTTATTTTTATTTATACAAGCACTGGGTATAGTCAGAAGCGCGGGAGGGTGAGAGAATTCACCAGAGCCACAGCGGGGAGCAGAGCAGGCAGAAGGACCGAAGTACACTGCTGAGGGGAGCAGCGGGCGGCAGGAGAGGTCTGCGCGCCATGTGGGACCCTCCTCTGGGGCCGGGGAGCAGCTGGGGATCGAACCGGCACTGCGGCTGCGGGCAGCTTCGCAACCCAGCGCTCAACTGCTGCGCCACCGGGGAGGCCCTGAATAAGAATTTTATATTCATTATTAGATTTCATATTAATTCACAAGTGCTAGAAAAGGAGAATAATTGCTTGATTTTTTTCCTTTATCAATTTTCGGACTAAGGAGCTGGTATGGAAGCAAGTGCCAATGTAATCAACAAGTTTATGGTATTTTATTTTCAAAATACCATTATGAATGCTTAGATTTTAATGTATTTCAGTCCACTCTAATTTTCAAATTTTCCCATTTTAAATCAGAATTAGCCCCTAGAAGTTGAATTTTATGCCCTTTGGATGTGGTTTCATTAATCTTTGATAACTGGCAGAGACATCCTAGACTCATTTTGTACATTTCCTGCCCCAGACTTGGAATTAGCTATTGTACCCCCTCCCCCCTCGCCCCCCCCCGCCCCCACCAACCTATAGCTTATACTTTTTGTTAGGAAAGTTAAACTAAATATAATTAAATACTAAGTACCCTTTGTTCTCCCTCCTCTCTCAACTCCCACTACTCCTTGTGATATTTTCTGCAATTGCATTCCCAGGAACCTTGAAAACTGACTGTGTGACATCTCTAACAAAATTCTTTGTGCCCTATGAAGTGGATAATGCAAGGGCGGGCATCTCCTAGGCTAAAGGAATACTCTCTGCTGCAGGTAAACACTAACTCATGAGTCTATACTGCCCACACCTCCTCAGAATCTGAATGCAAAGCTCCTCACTCCATTCATGTCCAGCAACATCCTCACACTCCTTTCACCCTGTGCAATCACTGTACTGCTACCCTTAGGGGAACTGGCTTCTTTTAAGGTTAACCCTGCTGACTCCTTGGGTGGCTACATCAGAATAAACTCCTTTGTGCAAAGACATTCTTTTGGTTCATTCTATGGCTTTCTGAAGGTGAATGAAAGACCCAGTTTGGTTGTTTACACTACTTTCCCTCCCTTCCTTTTACACATGAAACTGATGCCCCCATCCCCCAGCTTTAACACAATAGATTTCAGAATGTTTTTGTTTCCGTGACTTCCCAATTCTGTGATTAAAGGTTCTAAGGCTATATAATGTAGAACTTAATCTCTAGTGGTTCCCATCTCCTTTTCTACTTTTCTTATAAGCCCATGGCTGAGAAGTTGTTAATAAGAGCATTGAAGGGTGGTAAAAGCACTAGGATCATTACCTTGAATGGGAAGAAGATGAAAAAGATGCCCTCAGCATTGGAAAAACTGACTCACCTGAAGACTCTAAACCTTCAGAATAACCTAATTCCCAAAGTATGCCCAGAGGTGAGCGCCTTGACTCAGGTGAGGAGCAGCATATCTTTTTTGGATTGGGCACAGAAAATAGGAAGAATAAAGGGAGAACAGTAAAGTTTTGATCTCTGGAAACTTAGTTCCCTAGGGAGCTAACCGGTGAGTGTTGTTGGAGAAGCATCAGAAGACTTTCCCCCCCTAGGGGATTGATTACATATGGTAGAGGGAAAGGATGTTTTAAATAGTTATGTGTTCTTTGGCCCACATCTGGAATCATAAGATTAGGCCTCTACTCATTTTTCTGGAGACTGTTATCTGGAAAAGGGTTGGGAACTGGATCTGCTTGTCTACCTTGAGGCTCCATCTGGAATTGAGCTTTAGGATCTCAAGAGTTGCTATTCATTCTGGGAGTACCCTGAAGCTTTTGCATATGGAATGAAGAGATATTTGGGATGTAGGAAGGCGGTTCCTTTTCAATTTCTTAGAGCAGGCAGAATTTTAGGAGTGTTGGCAGGGAATGGAAAGGACTTTTATTTCTTCTGAAGTAGGCTTTTAAAGAGTTTAGTATTTTAAATAAAGAATAACCTTCTTAAAGAGCAACAGTTGACATGAATGAATCCCATATGTTTGGGTTGAACATATATGCAGAACAATGTGAAGCTCCAACTGCTAAAAATCTTGAGGTTGGAGAAGGCAAGGGATATTAACTTTGCAGTTTTCTTTTGGTCCACTCCTAAACTGTCATCAACACTGAAAAAAACCTATACAACCAACAAAGTCACTGCAGTTTATCAGTTATGAGCTCAGAATAACAAACAAACAAAAAAAATCTCTTCTTTCCTTCTCCCACCTCATTTTCTTTTAGATTTTCAAATTATCTGAGTTTTAGTCTGCACCTCAGAAATGTCTGTGAGAAGTTCAGCTATACAAACTACACTCCCTCCTTCCCCCCAAAAAAGTAACTCCTCAATCCATTATAATCATAAACCAGCAGGGATTTGGACTTAATTAATTGCGTGAGTAGTTTATATGCAAAAGAATTTAGGATGTGACTAAATCATGAGCCATTCTCCCTCTCTGCTTGAAATCTTTGCATCAAAGTAATGTAGTGCATTGTTTTAATAGAATTGAATACTACATGAAACTATATAAAGCTATCTCCTGTCCTGCTCTCCCTCTCCCCAACAATCTGTTTTAACTTTTTTCTTGATTTTGTCTACTTTAGATATCTCTACCTTCCAAGTACAATTAGAGTAATACAGTTTCTACATAGTTATCTCTTAAACTTAATATTGTTGCAGCTTTCTTTCATCAGTCTCCTTTGAGTCCCCACCCCCATATTTTGTAAGATGACATCTTCAGCTCTCCTTCCTTCTTTTCCTTCACAAATTCTAAATGTCTTACTTTTATAAAATGGATAGTGTTTACATTCTATTCAGTTATAACCATGGTTGAGTATCTTGTCTCTAGAAGAATTTTGAAATTTCTAAAATGAATTTTGTTAATAAGTTACTATCATTTAAGCAGGGTTGATAAATACACTATGATTATATTTTCTTCTTTATATACCATTTTTGTTCCCTTGGAGTTTTTAAATTCCTTTCCTTTATTCTTGTGCATTTGCCTTTATCATGGCCTTTTTTTCCCCCCAAACTTGACTGTACTACATTTCTGTCAAATGTGCTTTTTCCTTGAATGACTTCCTTCGAGGAGCCTTCATTCCCTGTCCCAGTCAAAGCTGATTACTATCTATAAAACACAAGAAATTCAGTTAAAATCTGCTTTACAAGGAAGGGTGTTGGGGAAAAAATGTGATTTCGTCCTTAAAAGTAAGGTTGAACTGAACCCTTTGCATCTTTTGACAACAGGAAAAGCCCAGCACAAATTCATTGGTGAAATGAACTGTTTAGTGCAAAATCCTTCAAACCTCTGGTTATCTATGCATTTGAGGACACCCTACAGAAGGTGGTCAGACCCCACTCCAGAGGAAAAAAATAGTTTGATTTATGAATAATTTGTCAAAGATGCAAGAATACCATGGGTCTGAGATGTTAATTCAGGCTTTCTGAAATCCACTTGGGTAATGAACAACAGATGGAGCTGTTGGCCTTATGGGGGTACCTTTTCAGAGGATTCATCAGTGTGAGTTTGTGGCCTCTCTCAGGCGGATAAGGGATGGACCTAGAGGGCCCTGGGCTGCAGGACCATGCTGGCCATAGATTATAGAAGCAAGCTGGAGGTAAGGAGCATCACCTTAGAGTCATGTTTGCTATACCTGAAAGGATAGGCTGGTGGGAGGCTTGTTGAAAAAGGTCATGGGATTATTAGCCTCAGATAAGCTACCAGGGTACAGATCTATCGAGCAAATCTGGCAGTCAATAAGGTTTCCCCCTATAATCACGCTTTGTGACATTTTGATAAGAGCAGTTCCCCTTACCATGAAGGGAACAATTAAAAAAAAAAAAAAAGGAAAAGAGAAAAAATTTAGTCAATTGTCTTGAAAAAATCGTTGAATCTGGTGAGAGATTTGGCCCATCATATGAGACTCATTATTGCTCACTTGGCTGTGATTGAGCATCTCCAGATCTCCATGTTTTTAGAAGCACACACCCTCGCTTTAAAGGAATGTAAGTGCTGGTCAGGAGGGCAAGCAAATCTGGGAAGAGCAAAATTATGTACAAAAGCTAAAAATTTCTTGAATATGTTCCACATAATTAAAATTTTTCATTCCTTGTTCTAAAGCAGGATTAGTATCCAAAACTAAGGATTGCTTATGCATCATCATTATAGTAAATTTCTCTGAAGTTGGTATCAAATTCTTCATTTGTAGTTGGTGCGGCTTCAGAAAAGTTCAGTCTGTTTTTCAGTCAACCCAAGTCAAAAAGATTAGGCAAAAAAACAAAACTAGAAAATTTTAGTTTAAAATATCATAGTCAGTTATTAGAAAAATTCAAGATCCTGTCCAGTTTGCAGGATAGAAAAGAAACAAAAATATCAAAAATGATTGAGAGGACTAGAATTTGATGTTCACAAAAAGATATATTATTGAAACTTTTCTCCACCTTCACCCAATTTTACCAAATAGTTATAATAAAATTAACTCTAGTGTTCATAGATCTGACCATTTGCATAAATTCAGCAAGAATTTAGAAATAACCATGTAGAATTATAAAATTTACTTTGCCGAAATATTTTATGAGGAATCTCAAATTGATAGTCCTTACATGGTCAGCCTCTCCGGGCTCCAGAGCACACCAACATCTCACCATCAGATTTCGCCATTATACTTGCATCTTTGGGTAAATTCCTCTCCTCTGGAGGTTCCCAAGATTTCCTGGGATTCCTAGAACTGCCAAGGGTTGCCTTCTTTACTCTTCTGACACAATGTAAAACATTAAAAACAGTTCCTTTTTTAAAGATTTATTTTTTATTTATTTGTGCATACAAGAACTGGGGTGTAGGCCAGAGATGCAGGGGTTGATGAGAAGACTCACCATGGACTGAGTGGGGAGCAGAACAGGCAGATCTACTGAAATACACAGCTGAGGAGAGTAGTGGGCAAGACAGGCAAGGTCTGCTGCACTATGTGGGTTAGCTCCCTGGCTGGGGATTGAACTCAGGCTGCAGTGGCTGGCGATAGCTTGATAGTGCTGAGACTTTAACCCCTGCGCCACCAGGGAGGCCCCTAAAAACAGCTCTTAAGAGTAATACTCTCAAATTTTGGTACTCACAAAATGGTGTTAAATAGAATAATAACATCAACCATTTATTGAGAGCCAGGCACAATGCTAGGAACTTTTTGCTCATATTCAAGGATGTTATTATCCTCATATTTAAAATGTTTATGGTACAGGAAGAGGTTAAGTAACTTATCAAGGTCACTCAACCAATAAACACATCTATAAAATGAGGTCTTTATTTTTGTGCGTGTATGTGTTTGGGGGGGGGTGTCTTTCAGTTCTCTTGTATTGTGGAATTTACCATAGTGTGCTGTTCAGTTTATAATTTCTAAAAACAAAAACTGGACTATGGTGAGGATTATTGGTTCTTCGGTGGTGGGCATTGTGTAGAAGCATGTTTGATAACAAATACCCTAGAATCATACAGTGCTGTAAACCAAAGTTACTTGAATATAAATATAAATTTCTAAAACAAAAAAACCCCAACTGGATTGCCTAGAGATGACACTACATGGATTGTCCCCATATTTTCCATATATTTTTCTATACTCATTCTTTTTACAAATATTTGCCATTCAACATCCTGTGGTCTGTGCTGTTCCTAAGGATATGAATGTAAAAAGCATGATCCCTGTCTTCATGCTCGGGGACCAAGTTAAATGTTTGTATATGTAAAGCTTAATACCTTGCACTAAGAACTTTCAGTAAATTTTAACTGTTGTTATGATTGATATTATCATTATGGCATAACTTGCAACAATGATGAGATGGAAGGAAGTTCTCTAGAGAGTATGGATCCTATCTCTTTTTATTTTTGTTTGTTTGATTACTGAAATTCTGGAAAATTTTAATCACTTCTAATGACACAAAAAAAGGTGTTACTGTTCTATAATTTGTGAAGAATGCATTTGGCTTGTGACTGATCAAGTTATGATATATTAACAAATTTCAAAGAAGCACTTTAGAACCTTTGAGGTGGGGAGACCTTATCTTGTCCCAAGTTCCTTGTACTGTTGACTTGAGTGCAATGGAATGGAAGCTATTTTCAGAATTCAGCTTAATCAAGCACAGTGTTATCATAGTGTCATATAGGAACAAAGGTGCTTTGTAGGTAAATCAGCTAGACTCTTAAACCCCCACAAATAAATAATTAACCTAATTGTGTGCAGCAAAGTAGACACGGATCATAAGATCCAGTGGCTATACAAGTTCCCCTTAAGTGGCTCACATGTGTGCTTGCCCAGGACAAAGATAAGTTCTGTCATACCTTTTTATTTGACCACAAACAACTGACAGTAAATAAGGTCAAATCTAAGCAGAGTTGGGTAGTTTGTAAATGTGTCATTGTGTCCCTGTCTCTCCTTTTCATAG